ACTTGTGGCAAGGCCCCCCACTTCGGACGAACTACCGTGAGGCTCTTGAAAGCAATCAACTTATTTTTTAGGGCTGCTTGGGACCCCCACCTTCAAAATATGCAGTTAAAGTGTGCCATTAAAGAGGTTCTCTGCACTTCCACGGACCCGGTCCCTTCACCCCCCCCCTCAAGGTGCCAAAAGCGAAGCCCCTGCCTGTTCAGTTTCCAAGACTTTTAATTGTTTGTCGCCAAGTGAGCAGCGCCATAAACCCTAACAATACAAAGTAGTAAAGGGGGGTGTCCTATACAATCCCCGCGAAAGCCAAAACGCAGGCCGCGAAAGCTGGCGAAAGCTCATCGCGAAAGTAACCAAAGAAGGTCCCGCTGCGAAAGACCCATGAAAGCCTGCATGCTGTGGACAGTCCGCCGCGAAAGCGTCGCGAAAGCAATTCTAAAGAAAACAAAGCCCGCGAAAGCAAAACATGCGGTCGCGAAAGCATCGCGAAAGGGTCCGCGAAAGCAAGTTCATAGGACCGCTTTTTACACAAGAGTATTTGGCACGGCTCAAGTGTCATCGTTTTAGTCCAGGGCTAAGGCAGCTTCACTTGTATTTGTCTAGCCAGTCAACTCAGGTCAGACCCTTTTACTTGCCTTTGAATCCGTATGACTTTTAATAGCGGGCCCTTTGGTGGACATAATTTGGGGATCTATGCCCACCAACCACTTTTGAGGTTCCCAGCCACTTTTGAGGTGGTTCCAACTCATAAAAAAACACCATAGCCATTTGTTTTTGCTTCTTGGGGGGGGGCACCAACCAGCGGTTTATCCCAGGTGCCCACAGAGATGCCGACCTCTCCTTGCTCGCCCTCAGACGATCAAACACGCCTGGAGGTGGGGCTTTGCTTGTTGCTTGGATGTTCAAGATACCTACAGTAGATAGGTTGCAACTCAGTTATATCCATGGTCATAGGTGTCCTTTTTGGTTGTTTTGGTAGAAAAATAGATGGCCCTGGTTTACCTGGTGGTTTAATCATCTACCAGGGCCATCTATTTCCCCTAAAAGGACACCTATGTCCATGGTTAGTTGGGGGGCGGGGGTAGCCCCAGGTACCCCAGGCATAAAGATGGTTTTATAACCTTTTTCCTTGCTAAGTAGCTTGAACATCCAACATCTAAAGGGCTAATCGGGCATTGGGATTGGGAGGGTCGAGGTTGAACATGTTTAATCCCTCTCGGTTAGTTCAACATGACCCCTTTCTTTCGGGGAACTCACTTTGCAACGACCATATGTTCTCATTTGCGGGGTCATGGTTTCACTCCAGCCTCAGAAGAGCCCGGCGGAATTCTGTGCCTTGGTCTGCGGACCGATCAGGGCAAAGTCTTAGATGCTCAGAATTAACGTTGCCTTCACTCAAAGCAAATGCGAATGGAGTGGGGCACTTCACATCCAAATTAAGCCATGTTGCAAGAGCAGTATGCTTGTGCGTGTGTTTGCTTTGTACTTCCATTTTGCTTGAACATATAGTTTTTAGTCGTTAGTTCTACAGCGAACTTGTCACTACTGGGAATAGTGTGTTCCCCATGAAGCTTGAAGCACATGGAAACTTGTATTATCTCTTAACGCATTCCTCAACAATCTGAGATACTCTCAATGGCCCACAACAATTAGGGGACCCTCCAATGCTCTCATGTCCAAAAGGATAGCACTGACCGTGGCTTATATAGCAACAAAGCGATCCGATGTTTGGCATTGAAGCCATGTTTTCGAACATCTCCTTAGTCGCGTTTTAGTGCCTTGCAAAGGGATTGGGCGTGCGAAGGTTAGAAACCTCACACATGATGAAGGTTCCTTTTACCCATTGTTTGTTTCTCCAAAATCGGACCTCATCTGTTGTTACTGCCCCCCTCGAAATCCAGTAGGGGTTCCCAATTTCGAGATAAATCGGATAGACCCACATGCGAATGACTGCCTTCACATCATAAGACTTCTTGCAAGCAGTAGGTTGTGTTGAGTGATCTGCCTCAGATCCGAGCCTTGGGATGCCTTGGGATGCCGGAAAATCGGAGAGCCCAATGTGTTCAACACTCCCGAGGGAAGCCAACCAAGTTCTGGGGTTTCTCCAGTGAACACACCCGTGACTCATAGGATCCAAACCCTAAGACCCCTCATCCACCTCGGTTTCCCAAAACAAAAGCAAGATCCTAACTTGCGCTACGGCGCCTTTCTAATAGAAACTAAGTTGCTAGGAAGCCAGGGGGGGCTGAATGCTATTGAACAGAAGTTGGAAACATGCCAGAAAGATCCTTTTACACCCTTTAAAGTAGAAGGGATCCAAGGGCTCCAACCGAAGGTGATTTGGGAGTTCCCCATGCTTTGGCAATTTCCTGCTTGGGACCTGGAATCTCAACAGCCTTTCGGATAAGCTCAATTTGGTCTTGGGGATGGGTTTTTCTGTCCTTGCCTTGTGGGATTCCCGATTCAGCCGCCTTGAGGGTGACTTTGGCCCACGCCAGGCACCCACTGCTCTGACCCAGCCCACCGCCGTCTCAGGCTGGGGGGTTGGCAAAGCGAGCCAGCGCTTTGCTTTCGGGGCGCTGGGTATCACTGAAAGGGCTTCTTTTGTTTTTGCCTTGCCAGGCTTACATCGCCAAAAGGGCCAAACTCTTTTGCCCTGGTCTGCCCTCATGGTTGAGCGGCAAAGAACTGAAGACTAGACTTTTTGCAGACAGTCTGGCCGTGCAAAGTTTGGGCTAGAGCCTCTGGGCACCATTCTCGAGATGTGATGCGTTCAATTGGGTGTGCCTCAAAATTAAACGATCGGAGGGGCAAACCGCAGGTTTTGGTCCATGTTTTCAGTTACCAGGGCAACCCATTTTGGAATTCCGGTTTTTTGAGCAGCCAATGCTCGTCCTGAATGTTGGTTTGACCTACTAGCAACACTTTCACGTTTCTTGTTTTTGGTCGGCTAGCATCACTTCGGACTGTGGATGGACCAAGGTTCTGTTATGTTGGGAATCTCTGTCGGGGATTGGGGGTCTTTACAGAGGTTCCTTCCATTTTGCCAAGACTTGACTGCCGATGCCTTAGAGCAGAGTTCGGTCAACATATGGCTGTGTCTGTTTGGGAAACTCCCCAATGGGGTTGGTTTCAACATGAAACCAACAGGAAACACCCGTTTGTCGGGCCCCCTATTTTGACGCACCTATACCTGGATTGTTTATCCCAGACGCTCATGGGCTCTGGGAGGGTCCGACCCCTAAGTCCGTCCAAGCTACACCCCAAAACCCCGGAACAAACAGGAGCGCCAATGGCAAGAGTCGTGAGCCTTTGGCACGGTCCATCCGCACTTTCCGGATTCGCCTCGGGTCACTGGCAGGTCGAGCGGCGACAATCGCCCGAGTCTCTGGCCGCCGGGGGCAGCTTCGGGGGAAGTGCTAGTGCTGGGAGTGGATTGCTCGTGTTGATATGGAATGTCCATTCGCAGTGTTGCTTGGAAGCTGCCGTTTGAGGGTTTTGGTTAAACGGGCTGCTTGTGACTTCTGAAACCCGTCGGCATCGCCTCATTTTGTCGAAGACCTGACCTTGCTTGTCTTCCGTTGATATGGCTAGGATTTTTAATGGGAACCCCCCGAAAAGTGATTGTTGGACATCAATCCACCAGAGGGTCCTCAATGAAAATTCATACCCACATGACCAATGACACAGACCTTAAGGTCCAAATGGTAGACCTCCGGGGGTGCTCCCTTGTTATTGTAAATTGGAGGTGCCCTGTAAACTCAAATGCGCGAAGCTTGATTTGCGGACGCGGAAGCATGCGCCACACTATGTTTATGTGTGGGAGGTCATTCAGGCTGGCTTTTCTTCCAAAAGCGGACCTTTGTAAAGTGCTCTGTGGTTACGGTATTGGGGCTGCAAAAACTCGCCCACTCGAATTCGGCTTGTTTTTGTTGATAGTTGTTGCAGACGCAGTTGGCTGAAAGTAGATGACAGTATCTCCCCATGTTGGCTTGATCCCCTCCAGGGGAGTAAATGGCTGTGGGTCAAAAAGGGGTACCCAATGGAACCCTGGTAAATGGAAACAAAGACTAACACCTTCGTAACCCTACCTCTTCAGTTTTGAGCCAGACCCAAATAGTCAAGGGACCTTCTCAGGGTTGGTAAGGACCGTCGTAGAGCTTTTCGTGGAGTCCCACTCAGGGGCATGTTTTTTGAGGCCTCAGAGGTCCCGGTGCCGGAAGCAGGCCAATCCGCAGGCGCCGAACGACACGGGGCATTTGGGCACGTGTGGAAATTCGGGCGGTGAGACCTCGAAGGGCAAGGCTGTGGGTCAAAAATGGGTATCCATTTTGGAACCCTAATAAATGGAAAGGGCCAAAGCCTGCGGTCCCCTGGTGCTGAAATTTTGACCCCTATGAATGCTCAGTTGCCCAAAGCGAATCAACCTGATCTGACCTTTTGGTTTTCCCATGTTTTGACAGCCATTTTTAGTAGTGCCAAAAGGTGAACCTTTTATTTCCAGGTCCTTTGGGCAAGTGAGAATGTGAAGGATCTTCCAGTTCGTTCCTTGGATGTTCACCGTGGCACCAACTTGGAACAGATCAGCCCAAAGTCCAGATCCTGAAGCAGATCTACCTCCAAGAAAAGCTCTGAGTGAAGGATTGTATGGACATGTGTCAATGGTGCATCTCTGAAACTTGAATGGGGATTACACACACGGCTTGGTGCTTTGGCCTTCGACCACATGATGGATAGATTGGGTGGCCAGCGGGTTTGTTCTAGACCTTTGATAGAATCCGTATGCAGTGTTGTGTGAGGCGAATGTCTTCAAGGCTTTCGGAGTTCGTCAGTTCAGCAATCTGAAATCTGTGTTCAGTGTTATGTGAAGGCAAAGTCCGCAAACTCCGCAAGAGGGTGAAAGATGATTATATTTTTTTGTGTGTGTATGTGTGTTTGTGAGCAAATCTTGTCCTGGTTCTGTCACTATGTCTCCTCCTTCAACGAACTTCGCCCCAATCGCCGCAAGTTCGTTCTGTTACAACATAGCTAAGAGGCATAACGAAGCCATTGACAAGAAGCATAGCATGTACTTGCGCCCCGTGCCGGGTCGGAGGAGGCAATCGCCCGACTAAGCCTTGCTCTTGCACCACGAATTGAGTGACTGTGTCACATGCCATTGACGAGAAGCAGTCTACTCACTTGTGGCCACTCTAGAGTAAGCAAGCAATTGTGCATGTAAGATATGTAAGCCCTGGTCTTACTCTAACAGGGGGTGGCCATACCACACTGTAGTGTGTGAGATGCCATGCAAATATTCGGAATAATATGCAAAGGCGCGGATCATGCAACCAAGTCGTGAAAGACGATTAGCAAGAACACGGGTTCTCACATCAAACAATATGTGGTCAACAAAGAACTCAAAACACAATCAGGAAAGATCCGACAGTCTTTCCAATAGTTCAGCCCTGCCCACAAAGCAAAAACAACTCGAGAAAACCGAAAACAACAGAACCAAACAGCAAAAGCAACAAACTACCAAGTCTCAGACACTCTTTTTGCTGGCTCTTGTTTGTGGATCTTTTGCCTTCTTTGTTTCCCACATTGTTTTTCGGATGTGAACAGATGTCTTGTTTTAATAGTCTTTCGCGTGATCCTCGCGCCGTTGCATTTTCTTCCAAGATCAGCACGGTCACTCCCTCAAAAACAACAGAACAACACGCAATTTACACAGGTCCATGAAAGCACTGCCACTGTCACCTTTTTTGAAGAAAACATTTGGCGTTCCCTTTGGCTTCCCTTCTACAAGCCGACACCGAACATGCGCACAGTATCCTCACCTAACTTGAGAGGCCTATCCAACATAGATCGCGCGCATTTTGTTGAACCCTGCGTCTGTTTGAAAAAGCGGGCATGCCTTGTTGGATTCGTTATGAAGGGATTGCCCCCTGATTTGGAGAAACCCCCGCCCCAAAATGGGCGGGATTTGTCTGGTTTTTTCAGCCGAGGTAGAGGAACCCTCAGAAGCAAGCGCCCACACATTATTTATATATGGTGCCTCGTTCTTGCAGATGCCTGAAAACACTGTAAAATACCTTGCGTGGGTTGGCTTTGTTTACCTTCTATATGACAGCAAATGTTTGTTTTGACCACATGTATAGGCACCATTTACTGAAGCCGGGACACCACGATTAGTTGGTATTCTATCAGTTTGTTTCCAAACAACGTGCAACAGAGGGCCCCTTTTTTTTGCGGACGCAACGCGGAGTCAAGACGAGACATGCCTCCCGGCTACCTGCTACCCTCGACGCCAGCCCTGGCGTCGAGCGGCCTCTCCTCCCTGGCGTCCCCCTCGGAGATGCCAGTGCCTGGGCCAGAATTCAGCGGAGACGCAAAACGCGTCGTCTTTTTGCGGCCCAAAGCCAGGCTTCCCAAGGCGTGTTTAAAATTGAGGCGGGCCAATTCCCTGTTTGGCTAGGTCCCCCAGTAGTGCCCTTTTACCCTTTTTTGGGGCAGGGTTCCCCTACTAAAATAGACTACAGAAAAAGAACCGGTACCCTTATTCTAACCTCTCTACTGGAGGACCTAGTTGGACACATACTCACTCGTTTTTTTTGGGATTCTTTGAACCGTCCCATGAAGGTTCGGGGAGCCCTTCTCCTCCAGGGCATGCTGCTTATGAGTACCAAGTGGCTGGGGGTGAAATGGAGCCCAAACAAACGTCTGCACACAGAATCCAATGCCCCCTCCCCCGGCCTCCGTTTCGAGGGAAACAAACAAAGACAATGTGTGAGGGCCAAAATTTCAGAAACCACTTTAAGCTTTTTGGGAAGACCATTGTAGTGGTAAACAAAAAGTTTGGACTTTTTTGGGGCCATCCACTCAGCCGGTGAGGAAAAAAGGCTGGCCTGGTCAATCGCAAATTCCTGGGGGTTTGATTTAAAGCACTCACCACAATCAGGCGTAGCGAGCCGGGGCCTCTGGAGTTCTTAAGTTGATCGATGTTCGTTGGATGTGTTCAATGAAGTCAGGCTGCGGAAAAAAAATATACAGGGGCATGCTTGTTTCCTTCTGGGGGATTTTGAGTCACCCCCCGAGTTTGACATTCAGTAGGCTCAAAAATTGAACGAACAACATGAATTCTCTTGAAACCAGTCAACACTTATTCGGGGTCAGCAGGTCAGACCATTTGATTCGGTTGCTCCATGTTTTTCTTGCTTCAGAAAATGAAGGCATCACCTTCAAGCCATCCCTCATGGTATCCTTTAAAGGAATCCCCGTCCGCATTCCCGAAGCTCCGGTGGATTCCGTGCGATCCCAGGTGCCCACAGAGATGCCCACCTCTCCTTGCTCGCCAGAGGAGCAAACCCGCCTGGAGGCGTGGGCTCTTCGTCTTGCTGTCGGTAAAGCATGGGGTGACCCCTCTGGTTTTTGGCTTCCCCCAGTAGTGCCCTCTTTCCCTTTCTTGGTTGGGAGGGTTCCCCTACCAAAATAGACTACAGAAAAAGGGTACCCTTAGTCTAAGCTCTCTACTGGAGGACCTCGTTGGAGAGTTTTGGGGTTGACTACCAACCCAGTGCGTCCAGCTTCCTTTCCTGGCAGGGAACCAGGGAAGCCAATGTAAAGTGTAAAGGGTAGAGGCGAGAAATCCTGTTTGCCTGCTATGGTGGCTTGTTTTTGGTAGCGTTGGGCAATACTACCCCAGTTGCTGAGTGACCACAAGGCAACCAATGAAACCACTTCAACGCTAAGAGTGAAAATGTTTGGGTGGCTACAAAAGTGGCCACTAGGACCCACTGGGTTATTCGCGGTCTTCGGCGTCAAGTATGGAAAGCGCCTCGCTCCGCAACTCACCAGGTTCTTGAACAAAGGCCGAAAACGGGCCAACAGAGCTAATCCTTCACCACCTTCAAAGAAACTCACTTCCTCAGTTCGAATTCTTGGACTTTTTGGGTCTGGACCACTTTAGAGGTAAACCAAAAGTTCCTGCGACGCTTTGTGGGCCATCCACTCGTTCGGAAGTGAGTTGAAACCAATCAAACCAACCAACCAACCAACCAACCAACCAACCAACAAGCAAACCAAACCAACCAACCAAGCCAAGCCAAGCAAACCAAACAAACCAAGCCAACCAAGCCAATCCAAAGATTTGGCTACTCAGCTTGCTACCAGCAACTCCGACATGGGCGACGTTTTCGGCCCGACGACAGGCGCCCACTGCCCTGACGCTGCCCACCGCCACAGGCCGTGGCGCCTCTCTGCGCGTTGAGCAAGTCACTCGCCGAGGGAAAGCCCGACCCGGGGCTCGAGGGAAAACCGATGTGAGGGTTCCTTGGGACTCAGACGTTTTCTTTCCGGCTTGACAAGTATGGTAATTGCCGAGCTTGGGCTTTGGATCTGTTTGCATGCTGCTGCCCTTTGTAGGTTGCCTTTGTTGCCAAACGTGGCGGACTCGAAGTCTGCCCACGTGAACCTTTTGGGAAGAAGGCTTGAACCTTTGAGAACGATTTGTGGAGTGTTGGGAAGGTCGGTTTGACCCACAGGGTAACGGGATGTCAAAGGGTAGGTTTGGGTGTGTCTTTTTTAGGGGACCACCCTCCCAAACAAAAGGAAGTCAAACACGTTAAATGCCGTTCAAAGCCAACAAAAGCAGCTAGCCTCAGCCCCCCCCCCAACAAAAACTTTCCCTCTAAGACCCACAAACAAGTTACCCTTACTAGGTCCCCCAGCTAGGTGCCCTTTCTCTCTCCTTTTTGGTTGGGAGGGTTCCCCTACTAAAATAGACAGAAAAAAGTGGGTAGACTTGTTCTAACCTCTCTACTGGAGGACCTAGTTGGACACGTACTCACTCGTTTCTTTTTGGGATTCTTTGAGCCGTCCCATGGAGGTTCGGGGAGCCCTCCTCTAAGACGAGCTAAGGCATGCCGCTGAGTACCAAGTGGCTGGCTTATTCTCTACTGGACCTGGCTTGAGGAAAGACACCGCTGGCTTGGAGAAACACTGCGCCTGGCCGCCAGGCGCCGAGGCGGAGCGCTCAGACCGGATCTGGTTTCGTCGGCGTGTGCGGAGAGCGGGGGGGTGAAGGGCCATGGCACTGTGCTGCCCATCTGACAGAGTGGGAAACGGGAAAAAAAGTCACAAACACATTGCATGGTTGTTGTTGGGAAACATTTTGCATGTTGTCTTATTGTGGTTTAGTGGGAAATCCCCGCTTGACTGCTAAAACTTAAAAAGTTTGCTCCCCTTCCAACGTCAACCAAGATTGAGTCCCTCAATGCCTAATATGTTGATAGGGAATCACCTCAAGAGCCGTTGGTGGACATACATACCCACCTAAATGATCTCCACCAAAGGGTCTCCGATAAAGATTCATACCCAAATAGAAGACGGATCTCAAGCAGATATTCATTGTTATTCTTTCATATTGGTTTCTGGACTTTGGATAATGCCAAATGACTTAGGCTATTGTAGGACTCTGCCCCTTAGAAACCTTCTTTCTTCTGGGTATGAGTGTTTCAGTGTTTGCTTTTGTGCTCTGTTCATGTTCAGTGGCTGCGAATACTTTCTGGCACGCCCCACGTTCGGAAAGTAACAGTCGGAGATGTGTACGCAATACGTCAGGGCATGCCTGTTTGCTGTTAAATCCAATAGACATGTTAACATGTCTGCACATATATATATATATGTATGTAAGTATTTATCACAATGTACTACAAGTATAAATGTTGGCACTAATTGTGGCGAGCTCTATCATGATAAAGGTTCTTTACTTGAGGATTCCTTCATGCAGTTTTGTGGATCACAGAAATTTCAGTACCGAACAGATATGCGTCCTTGTCCGTGTTGCTGAGTTTAGGCCCCAGCAATCAATCAGTTGTTTGGGAGAAGAAACAACTTCTCCACTTGCGGGATGCTGCTGACTGCAATCACTTCCCTTTCACCGAGGTGCCTGTCCCTGGCCGGTCCTCAGGCGGGAGCCTTTGGAAACTTTGGTCCGAAAACGACTTGCGCCGGGGCAGCGTAGTAGGGACCACCAGGAAACCGCAGGTTTTAGTATTTTTTTTCATTTACCAGGGTGCCAATTTGGGAATTCCTATTTTTGACCCACAGCCATTTGACTTTGGGTTGCCAAAGTTAGGAGTCGTTTTTGGTATCCCTTCAGAAGGCCGCCATATTTAGACCACTGTGCTGCTTGGCGATGAGAGGGAAGCCGGTCTTGACTCAGCTTATGGCGTGGCAAACTTGCTGGCAACTCAGACAGCAGTTCTCTCTTGATGAACATGTGGAACTGGTGAGCAGCCGTCAGGACTGGTCTCCGGCCATCAAAACTTGGACGTCCTGGGACGAATTTGCTAGTAATCCTATTTATAACCAGACCGGGGACTGACAACTATCGGTTTGGTGGTTCATATCCATGGTTACTAGCCACGCGACTCGTCCCGGGCCATTAAAGTAGGGGGTTGATTCCCATTGGTTCAAGCCCGGAAAGAATCGGGCCGCAGCCCTAAAAGCGAACGTCTTTGGAACGGGCTTCTTCAAAAACCCGCAGACCGGTTGGTTTTGGGGCGACCACCCAATCTTCTCACACCCGGTAACAGCAGAAACATTTGTAATTTGTCCAGGGCCCGCATGGCGACTGCGCGATATGGGTGCGTGTTTAAATAAGGGGACCCAAAAAATGTTTTGGTTTCCCCCGCAAGGGTTAGGGGTTGCTCAGCCTTAAAGCACACGAATTCAGCAGAAACACACATGACCCCCCCCCTCCCTTTTGCGCAGTCCTGATGTCTGCGGGCGTCTCCTCCATGGTGGAGTCACCCTCAGAGATGCCGGCAGGGGAGCTCAGGAGAGAGCCTGGGTCTTGTGACCTTGGCAACCAGATTTGGCTTTTCCATCGAACAAAAAGGATCGACCTTCTGCTCAGGGCGCTTGACCTGCAAGACCTTTTGCTCGTCCCTTCGCACCAGCGGGTAGGTAGGTGGTTTATCCAGGTATTCAAATCGGTTTCATCCCCATCCAGAAGCTTACGCCAGACATTGCCAGACCTTGCCAGACCTTTCTACTTGGACCTCTCCCGTGGGCGTTTCCCATTCTTCCAATTTCGTTGGAGAGGTTATCTAGGTGGGTCCGTTCATTTTTTGAGGTTCTTAGTGGCTCCGTTCCAGGGCGCGAATTTTGGTTGGGCTCTGAAAGATTCCTGGCACCGAAACGATGGCTGAGCCGATTATTTGCCTCGTAGTCTCGAAACTACCGGGCGGAACCGGACCCTGAGCTGCGGCCGACAAGTGGACAAGTCCGGCCAAGCCGCAGGGCTTGGAGGGAAGGTCGGAGGGAAGCTTTTACTGGGAGTTTGGGTCACCATAAAAACAAAAAAATCCCCAAGCAAGGTTTGAGGTATATGACCTGATCACATGGCCAATGTGGCCGAGCAACTTTGTGGGGAACCAAAAAGGTATAAAAGAAAACCAACCGCAGAGGGGACGATTCAAGAAGCAATGGACGGGTAGAAGCATGAGATTTGGTCGATGGAGAGTTTAGGAAGGACATGGCACGTGCCACAAAATTTTAATGCCCTGGCGTTTCTGATTTGAGGACAAACTCAATAGATTAAGATGTGACTCATATTTTTTGCTCGGGGCAAGTGGTTTGGCTTGGCGGCGCTAAACAGCGGAGGATCGATCAGCGGATTTCACTCCTGACTCATACTCAGGGTTGTGGGATCAAGGGGTTTCTCCCCACTTCTGTGATACAAGGGAATCCCCGTTTATATGAAGAAAATAGTCTTTGGGAAGCCCTTTCTGTTGTATTACGGAAGTGGTCATTCCCCACAGCCCTGCTCATACTTGTTTTTTTATTGTTATTGAGATTTCAGGTATCCCCCAATTAGTGGTTTGGAGTGGCTTGAGGATATGAACCCTGGATTTGTAGAGGGTAAATGGGAACCCGCTAAGCTCCAAAGCACCAATTAGCATGGCCAGACTTAGCTTGCCTTGTCAACGTTTTGCCTTTTTGGCTTTCCATCATTTTGCCTTCAACATCAACAAGTCTATTGTGCAGGGGTTCTAGGGCTGGTCAAGAGTGAAGCTGAAGATTGGATGGGCTTTTCTCGAAATTGGGCTTTGTCTTCTTGTAGGGGCCCCTTCCCCCCCAAAAAAAAAGAGGAACAGAAACAAGAGGAATAAATAGACATAAAATACTGGTTTTGCTGTTGGTTTCCCCAAAATCGGTTGGTTTCCCCCCCCCCCCCCACAAAGAGACCCTCCCACTGGTTCCATGAGCCGTGCCGAGGTGCCAACGGAGATGCCCACATCCCCATGCTCGCCCTCGGATGAGCTGCGGCGTCTGGAGGCGACGGCCGACGGCAGCCAGTCTTCCACCCTCCAGTGGTTCTAGGGGGATGACTCTTGCAGTCTTTTCAACCATTATGTTCACTGCTGGATCCGCTTTCCCTGGGTTTCTGGAGGTTTTCTAGAAGGGTCCCTGGAAAGAATGGAAATGGAAGGTACCGCTAGAGTGCCCTTTTGCAGGTTTTAAACCATCCTTGAAAGCCAAGTTGCTGCTTTTTGCAGTCACTGTTGCTGTTTCTTGGGGTAAAGTGCATGGGAAAAGACAGCAACTGGCGATCCAGGATTGTTCTTCTCAACCACTGGCCGTTTTCCCCGGGGTTCTGGAAGTGGTGTGTTTTTTCACGTTTTGCCCCTACCAGCTAGCTGTCCGTCCGCTGGACGCCGTGGAGTCTCTCACTCAGAGGTCCCTTGTGCAGATGCAGTTCCAGTTGGAGTTCTGTTCCAGGTAGCCCACTGAGCCCACCCGTTGAAGAGCAGATGAAGGTTTGCTGTCGAGATTCCTCGTTTTCAGGTGAATGAGTTGGGCAAATTATACCGGAGAGAGGTTGTCTACAGAGGAGCTTGATCTTCCAGGTACCCTCCCACAGGTGCTATGTTAGTGACTAGTGGAAGGGAGGTATATCACGCCCTCACAAGTGATTTGCCAGCGATTTGGCACCTTTTTGGGGTCCCTTATTTTGAAAAACGCCCAAATCAGCTGGAGGGGTTTCACATGGAGGGGTCACCCCCATTTCGATTGGATTAGGCTTGTTGTTTTTTTTGTTGGGGGGGGGGGGGGGGCGGAGGGGTCGACCGGGGCGAAAGTCCCCATACAAGTCTTGCAGCCGGAAGCATCCCTTTGGGTTTTGGAAAACCCTTCGAAGGTGCCTTGGTGGTTCTTCTGTGAGTTCGGGCAGAAGAAAGGGTCAAATGGGTATGGGTCAAAATTAAACCACCAGGAATTGGACCGCAGGTTTTAGTCCTTGGTTCATTTACCAGGGCAACCCATTTTGGGGTCACCCCATGTTTGACCCGCCAAATATTTAAGCCGATTTGGGTTAGACGTCGGTTCCTTCCAGGTGCCGACCGCTCCGGAGCTGGAGCCGAGCGCGCCCTTTGGAGGCTGGGACGGCAAGCTGGAGCCGGGGTTTCATTCGTCCAGTCTAAGTGAATTATGGCGACCACACGACCGAATTCACCCCAAATGGTGGTTTATGTGGGGAATAGCCCCCACCGCAAGTCTCAGGTTGGTTAGAATATTGCAATTCACCCAGACCCAGTCAGTTATTATCTTGGTTTCAGTTGCGTTCATTTCAGTCATTCATCTATATTTGAGTGCATTATTTAGGCTTGCATGTTTTGGGACATGAGTCGATTTGTCCCACTCAAACAACAAATCTGACCTTGCACAGGCCTTTCAGATTTGAGGGACCCAGCCTTGAAGGGATTCATTGATGTGTTTTAGCTTTTGAGCTAGGTCCCTTCCGCACAGAGCCGCTTTTGGGTGTCGCTCTTTGGACTCCTTTCCGCCTTTGTCTCTTATTTTGTTTGTGTTCTGCTTCCTTTGGCAGGTCGATTCGCAGTTCCCACAAAAGTATCAGGGGTTTATTTGTGTAATGTAAGGTGTGGGCGATGCGGATTGCTTCCGGCGCTTGCCCCGATGTAGTTCCATTCAACGAATATTTGGTAGGCTCTGAAAATCACCCGAGTGGGATCCCAGCTACTCTTATAGTAGGCAATCAACGAATGTCCTTTAGTTTCTAAGGGGCGGTTCCCTTGGCTACCTACTATACAGATAAATGGATCCACCGAGTACTTTCGGCGTTCGTTGGTTTTCCGTACGATGAACCCAGGACCCGGTTCAAGCACCGAACTGAAGTGGTCAACGTCAAAAGGGTTTTGATTGCGACAACTCATCCATGAAGATGCCAGATGCCTTTCATTGGTCTTCTATGAGGGTGGGCTCCAAGCTTACCATATGCGGCTGGATTTCCTTATGCGAGTAGGCAATCTAGACTTGGCGGCTACTTGTTGGGTCTTATGAGTTACAAGTTACCAGTTGTACTGTTGAAAGTATGCAACTCGCCTATTGCCTCATGGGGTGGGCGTGCTAGACACTCGCTTGCAAGCATTCTGTATGCGGTTTTAGGTATGCTTAGGGAGAGCGCCCGAAATGAGATCCATGCAAACCCAGCAACCAAGCAACAACGGGTAATGGTCACGAAACCCCTTTGAGAACTTGGAGCCTTTTGGACCCTTGTGGCAAATGGATTTGAAAGTACATCTCACTCCCTGAGTTCCGGGACTTCAAACTTTGAAGACCACGTTGGTGGGACATAGCAAGTGTTGGCACATGTTGGGGCCCGAGTGGCAAGTAAAAGGTTTGGGCACAATTTTTGGGCCATTCCACTGAAGTGAGAATCCCCTGCACTGGGAGAAGCTCCGGAGAGAGGTGACGGAAGCTTTTGCAAGCTTCTCATGGCGCTTCTCCGCATTTTCTCTAGCGAGGGGGCGTCGAAGGTGAACCCCCAGACTAAACCCTCGGGTCAATCACGAAGAAGTAAGGGTTTAATGAGGGGCCTGAGGAGGTGTGGTGGTTTCGAGGGTATTTGTTGAATCTTAGGTTTGTTTGAGGGCGATGAATCGCAAAACACACCATTTTCTCTGTCGACCTAATTTTGGACAAACCCATATATTGTCG